CATTGGGTGGTACTTGAACAGGGTTGCATGAAAGGCAAAGGGTCCCTGCTAGCAAGAGACCTTCCACAGACAGTGTCACGAGGCCAATTCCCGGAGGGAAATGGGTAACGGTCCCACCCCGCCCAGGACAAGGGGAGATTACAGAGAGTCCCATGTGACTGAGGATGCTGACTTAGCTCCCACGTGCTGCACCCATCTGGAGTCTGTTGTAGCTACAGGGTCTGCTTACCTGTGCTCGGCACACGTTGGGTAGGGTTTTCAGCAAATAGGTAGCTTTAAATGGGTAGAGATATGTTTGTTTGGGCTAAGCGTAAAGCAGCTGACGGTATAATCATTTGAGTCTGGTTCCGGTGGCCAATATTCCTAGCCCTTCCTGTGGTGAAGTAAGGAAAAAGGGAGACACAGGGGCTGTCTTTGGCCCATTTATAAGACCCTCATGAATTCCCCCACTCATCGGTTCGCTCATTACAGTCGACTCACAGCTTCATCATGGTTTCGTCCGAGTTTGAGATCACGAGGCAAGAGTGAGGGCAAAAACAACCCTGAAAACCCCTTAAGTTGAACTTCCAAGTCAAGGAAGGGTTCAGAGCATCCAGTGTGCCACAACCTTTTCTCTCTCTCTTGGGGACACCAGGGACAGGACGTGACCATCGCGGGCCTGGCAGGAGAGGCAGTTTCTCTCAGGTGGAGCCTCAACTCAGTGTGGGAGTGATTCTCTCTCCACACCCGAGACAAGGCCTTCTTGTTTAATCCACTCGATCCCTGTGAATTGGGAGTTTTTCCAGCGTAGCTGTGTGGAACGGGTACTATGTCTGGCCCTCTGTGAGCACCAAGCACTGTTCCCTCCAACCCTATCATGTGGCTTTTTTCTGCGGTATCAGCTTGTTTCCTCACATGTTTGTGCAGTCAGGACTCGGCCGAGTATTTGGGAGCGCTCTGCAGATTTCTGGGGTTCTTTCAACATGCAGATCTCTTCCTGTTTGGTATTCTGTCCTTTGAGCCCCACCTGCCTTGGTCTTGTTCATTTTTCCATTTCTCCAAATGTGTGTGTGTTATCAATGCTTGATAATTTTCCACATACAGGCTTTTCACATTTCTTGTTAGATTTATTCCTATCTCATCTCATACTTGTATTAATCGCAATCCCCTTCTGTATGCAGTCTGCATATATGAAGACCCATATGTTATGTATGTTAATGTTCTATCCTAATATTTTTTCATTGATGGATTGATTTTTTTTTTAATTTTTTTTTAATGTTTTATTTACTTTTAAGACAGACAGAGACAGAGCATGAATGGGGATGGGGCAGAGAGAGAGGGAGACACAGAATCCGAAGCAGGCTGCAGGCTCTGAGCTGTGAGCACAGAGCCCAACGCGATGCTCAAACTCAGGAACTGTGAGATCATGACCTGAGCCAAAGTTGGACGCTTAACCAACTGAGCCACCCAGGTGCCCTGATTATCTTTTTTTAAATAAAAAATTAATTATTTAGGCTTCCCAGGTATATATTTATGTCTTCTACAAGCAGTAGGTGCAATAATACTATGAGTGCCTGGGTGGCTTAGTCAGGCATCTGACCCTTGATCTCGGCTCAGGTCACGATCTCACGGTTGGTGAGTTTGAGCCTCGCATCAGGCTCTGTGCTGACAGTATGCAGTCTGCTTGGCATTCTCCCTCTCTCCCTGTCTGCCTGCCCCTCCATCATTCATGCATGCTCGCTCGCTGTCTCTCAGAATAAATAAACTTAAAAGAAGAAATCAGTGATATTTATCAGCTTAAGGACATCCTAATCTTACTTTTTTTTTTATCATTGTCACCTATAAAATTCTGCCAAATATCTTGGTTTGCAGTTACCAACATGATCATCTGTCTTTCTCCTTAACTTCTTTTTCTTTCTTCCTTTCTTTCTTTCTTTTTTTTTTTTGTTAAGTAAACTGTCCCTCCAAGTTGGGGCTTGAACTCACAACTCAAGAATTACGTGCTTTACAGACTTAGCAGCCAGGTGCCCCTATGCTGTAATCTTTTATTGGTGACAGTATTTGGAAATATATTTAATAATTTGGGATCCCTTATGCATGTGAGATTTGTTAAATATTGGTGGCAATCTTTGTAATATATTGGGAAATTATTTGCAAGCATTATCCTTTTGAAGTATAGTAAACATAACATTTGTGAATGGCCCAAGTAACATGGATCTATCTGATAGTGAAGAATAATAGAGTATCACTGATAAACTATCATCTGGTGCTGTCTTTGTGACGTGGACATTTCTAGGAATGTGTACTTCATGGCACTGACCCCAGAAGAAGTACAAATTCTGAAGTGAACCCTGTGCATGGGCCAGTGGGGGGGGGGTGCAGGGGGAAGGGGTGGAAAAGGCCAATGTGGGGGCGCCTGGGTGGCGCAGTCGGTTAAGTGTCCGACTTCAGCCAGGTCACAATCTCGCGGCCCGTGAGTTCGAGCCCCGCGTCGGGCTCTGGGCTGATGGCTCGGAGCCTGGAGCCTGTTTCCGATTCTGTGTCTCCCTCTCTCTCTGCCCCTCCCCCGTTCATGCTCTGTCTCTCTCTGTCCCATAAATAAATAAAAAACGTTGAAAAAAAAATTAAAAACAAAAAAAAGAAAAATCCTCCCTGAGCCTTTTGTATCCTTGTCCCTGCCCAGAACGTGCCTTATTTTTCAGCTTAGGAGCCTGAGCGTAAACAGACAATTATATTTTAAGGATGGTGACATTCTCCAGGAAGTGCAGGGTCTGATTAAATACTTGTGCTTCACTGCTGTTCTCTCCTGGGCCAGATCTCAACGTTTTTCTATTTCTACCAAGTGAGACTCTGTCTATCCCCAGCTATTATGGAAAAGGAAAACACTCCTCCAAAACATTCAGTCTGTCTCTTTGGAGAGGCTAACTAGAAACTCTAATTGTTTCTGGGAATTGGGAACCGGAAGGATTTTTTTTTTTTTTTAAGATTAATTTTAGCTGCCACATTGTACAACGTCATTGGAACTAAGCGCAAAGTGATAATTGTAGTTCTGTGGAGAGTTGAGATCACAGAATCACAGACTCTTATCATAGGGTCTGGCTGCCTCCCTCCCACATGAGCAAAGGGTGTCATGACTGTCACACTGAGCTCACTGTCCCAGCAGCAGGAAAGAGATACGTGAGTATTTTTCTGTTTCAGCCTGAGACACAGATTATGTTTGGAGATGAGGCATATCACAGTCCGGGGAAATGCTCCTGTCTGGGGAAGGGATTCTTCTGAGGGTAGAAAGTGACACAGAAACAGTCCCATACAGGAAGAAATAATAATTTCTGAGGCACAGGCTGAACTTGGGGAGAGGAACCAGAGATCTGAGACCCTATATCAATCTCCAGTTGTTCCTAATGTTTATCTTACTGTGATCTTCACTGATGATGATGGTTGGGCTTCATTCTGAGCATTAGTGGATTCTGGTTTTTATGATCCTTAAGACTATAATTCAGAAGTTAATCTGCTCTATAGAAATCATGGAGTGATTTCCAGGATTAGCATTGTTATTTCAGTAAGAGTTGTGTGGATGTGATAATGAGTTTGATGGAGCTCATTGAACCATTCCTCCCTGTACGAACAGTGTGGTCAAGTGACACTTGCTGGCGTGTGATTTTTCTGTTACTTAGGTTTGGTGTGTTCAATGGAGGTGTTAATTATCTCTCTTTTGAAAATACCCATAGTCTGTTGATCTAGGTGGGACAGTTTTCCTCATGAAGTTAGTGAAGCAGCCTTCAAGGAAAAGTTAACCTGAGGGTTTAGATGGCAGAGTAAACTAAGGACTTGGCATTTTTCAATCGCAAATGTGCCTTCTGATATTTTCTCTAGCTTGTAATACTCTAATGTGTCATTTTCAGACTCACCCCTGTGTTCTCCTATTTGAATTTTTTCAGCGCATAAGATTTCATGTCTCAAATTCCATCTTGCATAGGACTTGTTTTATATTTTTATATGTTTTATATTTTTACATGAAATAAAGACTAATTGAGTTTTTTTTCAACTTTTTGGGACAGAGAGAGACAGAGCATGAACGGGGGAGGGGCAGAGAGAGAGGGAGACACAGAATCGGAAACAGGCTCCAGGCTCTGAGCCATCAGCCCAGAGCCCGACGCGGGGCTCGAACTCACGGACCGCGAGATCGTGACCTGGCTGAAGTCGGACGCTTAACCGACTGCGCCACCCAGGCGCCCAAATTGAGTTTTTACCCTAAACATATTTCAGTACTTACTTAAATTTCAAATTCAACTGCTTAGGAGAAAAAAAAAAAAAACCCATAGTATGCCAGAATTTATATGGTAGATCTCACTGGAAAAAATAAATGATATGCTTCATTACTTTGCTATCCCCATATTAACCCATATTCTAATTTTTTTTTTTAGCTAAATTTTTTTTAATGTTTATTTATTTGGGGGGTGGGGGAGGGAACAGAGCACAAGTGGAAGAGAAGCAGAGAGAGAGGGAGACACAGAATCTGAAGCAGGCTTCAGGCTCCGAGCTGTCAGCACAGAGCCCGATGCGGGGCTCGAACTCAGGAACTTCAGGATCATGACCTGAGCCAAAGTTGGACCCTTAAGTGATTGAACCACCCAGGCGCCACTGACCTATATTCTACAGTCAATTTGATGCTGGAGAATTATTTAGTGCATCTGCATTGTAAGACCTTCGATGGTCTTGCTAGTGGTGCTAGTCAATAGCCTAAATACTAAAAAATAATTAATTAGCACAATTAAACGTAAAATACAGCAAGTTTCAAATATGACAATGTGTAAGTATATTTGGATTATTTAAAGAGTACAAGATCTGAGAAAGTAGTACGATGCCAACGGCCAATGTCACTGCAACCTGGCTACTCAGGTTCAAACCATGGCTCTACTACTAACATTTAGTTGAGTCACTTAACCTCTTTTCAGCTAAATTCTCCTTATCTGGGGGCACCTGGCTGGCTCAGTCAGTAGAGCTTATGACCAACTCTTGATCTCTGGGTCGTGAGTTCGAGCCCCACGTTGAGAGTTAACAACAACAAAAACACTATAAATTCTCCTCATCTGTAAAAGGAAGATAATGTTAGGTACTAACTTGGAGAGTTGTAAATATTAAATGTTATAAATAAAGCATTAATAACAGAGACCCATACATTGCAAGTGCTGTATAAGGAAATACATCAAACTTGGAAAAATCTCTTAACAAAAGAAGAATATATATTAGAAATAAGTTATCAGGAAAAAGTAAGAGTAAGTAGAGATTTGGGGATTTAACTTTTCTTGAAAATTGTAGCCCATTCCCAGTGTCTCCACACAGAATCCTCTTCTTTGCGAAAGTGAATATTGAGCCCTGGAAAATAACTGAAAGACGTCTGTGGATTTGAAAATTACAGTAATCTTCCTGGTCCAGATTACCATTGGAATCCTGGGGAATTTCTCACTCTTATATCGTTATATGTCCCTTTGCTTCAATGGAGGTAGGTCAAGATCCACAGATGTGATTTTCAGGCACTTGACTGTAGCCAACTCTTTGGTCATTCTCTCGAGAGGAATCCCGGAGACCATGGCAGCTTTTGGGTTGAGATATTTTCTCAATGACTTTGGATGCAAAGTTGTTTTCTATATGCACAGAGTGGCCAGGGGTGTGTCCATTGGCACTACCTGCCTCTTGAGAATCTTCCAGGCCATCACCATCAGTCCCAGGAGTTCCAGGTGGGCAGAGATGAAAGCAAAAGCCCTGAAGTACATTGGCCCCTCCACCATTTTGTGCTGGATTCTGCACATGTTGGTAAATATCATAGTACCTATGTATGTGATTAAAAAATGGAGTAATGAAAACATCACAACTGTAGACTTTAAGTACTGTTCAGCTACACTTCATGACAAAGGTACAGACTTCCTATGTGCAACTGTCACATCCATCCCTGATGTTTTGTGTTTGGGGCTCATGTCCTGGGCCAGCGGCTCCATGGTTTTCATCCTTTACACACACAAGCAGAGGGTCCAACACATTCATAGGAACAACCTGTCATCTAGATTCTCCCCTGAGACCAGAGGCACTCAAACCATCCTTGTCCTGGTAAGCACCTTTGTATCTTTTTATACCCTCTCTTCCATCATTTACATTTGTTTTTCTTGTTTTGGCAAGACCACTTGGTGGCTGGTGAACACCTCTGCCTTAATCAATATCTGTTTCCCAACTGTCAGCCCCTTTATTCTCTTAAGTTGTAACCCCTGTGTATCTAGACTCTTCTGTACATGTACTAGAAGAAATACACAACTACCCCATCTCACCAGAAACATATAAATTGTATGTTTTTTACCATGTTTGGTCATTGATATACTCATTCCCAGTAGAATCCTACACACAATGACAAGCCAGTCTCCTTGTAGATTGAGTTGTGAAAAAGACAGGAAGAGCATCTGTTTCAGTAACAACTGAAATATGAAAATACTTCTGGAGAAAGATGAGCATGTAAAATACTTTCAGGTAAACGTTAGAACAATGAATTGCACAAGACAAAGGAAAACAAGCAAGAAGACATGTCAGCTGATACTTAGAAAGTGTGCAGGTAGGAAGCAAACAGACGTTTCGTTTCATCAAGTTAAATGTATGTGGGGAGTCTTTAGAAGGTAGGTTGTTCTGGGGTGCCTGCATGGCTCAGTCAGTTAAGCCTCTGACTTCAGCTCAGGTCATGATCTCACCATTTGTGGCTTCGAGCCCCACATCGGGCTCTGTGCTAACAGCTCAGAGCCTGGAGCCTGCTTCAGATTCTGTGTCTCCCTCTCTCTCAGCCCCTTCCCCACTCATACTCTGTCTCTCTCTCACAAAAATAAATAAACATTAAAAAAAAAATTTTTTTAGAAGGTAGTTTGTTCTAAGTCTTGATGCCAGTTGGCTCTATTAACAAGAAATGGATTTAGGGTCATCTCCTACCTTTCCGATTTTATGAAGCAATTTTAAGGAGGAGTCTTTCATCAAACTTGGAGCAGCTAGACTAGTAGCATTTGGAAGTTATTGATTGTACTATTATTTATATCAGTATAATTTCACATTTTTTTTTTTAATGTTTCTTCATTTTTGAGAGAGACAGAGTGTGAGCAGGGGAGGGGCAGAGAGAGAAAGAGACACAGAATCCCAAACAGGCTCCAGGCTCCAGCACAGAGCCTGACGTGGAGCTCGAACTCACAACCCTGAGATCATGACCTGAGCTGCAGCCGGACGCTCAACCGCCTGAGCCACTCAGGTGCCCCTCACATATAGTTTCTAGTATTTTGCATTATAATTCAAAACTGACATTTATTGTCTTATTCAGATTGTTCCAGCTTTGGCCATTTGGCATACTCGGATATGTATATACTTTTTAACTTTCTTACTTTCTGTCACTACAAGATACTCATGTTCATCTTATATATGTTTTCTTTTTTTTTTAAATATGTATATATTTAAATGTTTATTATTTTGAGAGGGAGAGAGAGAATCCCAATCAGGCTTTATGCCCAGTGTGGAGCCTGACACAGGATTCGATCTCACCTTCTGAGATCATGACTTGAGCCGAAATCAAGAGTCTGATGTTCAGCCTCCTGAGTCACTCAGGCGTCTTTTTTACTTTTGAACGGCTTAAATAGTATTGGTTTACCTATGAACATAACCTCCTCACTGTTAAGCCATGTCATCAGGGTATGTTTGTGTGTGTTTGTTGGGGGGGGGGGGGCTCTTTGATAGATATCCCTCTTTCTTCCATCAATATTATTCAGTTTAGAATTTATTCTACACGGGTCAAACCCCATTTTGGGCATAGAGTTTACTTAAACAAAAAAACAAACAACCTCATTAGAACGTACTATCTCATTTTGATTAATAAAATCAGTTTCTTTTTTTTTTTTTTTATTTTTTTTTAAACGTTTATTTATTTTTGGGACAGGGAGAGACAGAGCATGAACGGGGGAGGGTCAGAGAGAGAGGGAGACAGAGAATCGGAAACAGGCTCCAGGCTCTGAGCCATCAGCCCAGAGCCTGACGCGGGGCTCGAACTCACGGACCGCGAGATCGTGACCTGGCTGAAGTCGGACGCTTAACCGACTGCGCCACCCAGGCGCCCCAAAATCAGTTTCTTTTATGGTATCAATCAATATTATTTAAGGTATTCAATATGTAAGTGTTTTGTACAGTTTTATTACATTTCATATCTTCATTATAATTTATTTATAAATATATAATGCTTTTTTCTAATATGTTTAGATTTTTAAACTTCATCTTTTGTTTACTTTCTACAGAGAACATTTCTAACATACTGAATTCTGTGTGTCGTGTACGTATGTGTATGTTTGTGTATCCGTATATGTATGCATAACAACGTGTATGCGTGTTTATACGTGTGAAAGTGTGTATTTGCATGCATATATTTTCATAAGAACTCTGATGATGATTGTTGGAATTTGTTCCAAGCAGTAATAAAGTCTAACTCTTATGATCTTTAAGAGTATGACTCATAAATTAATTTGCTATTCAATCTGCTCTACAGAAATCACAGAGAAATTTGCATGATTAGTATAGTTGCTTCACAGCACTTCTGTGCATGTAATAGGGAGTTGGAAGGAGCTCACTGAATCATCTACCTCTGTGCACCCAATGTGATTGAGTGGAAATTGCTGAAGTATAATTAAGTCTCTCTTGAAAATATCTGTAATCTGTTGTTCATAGGGAGACAGTTTTCTCTTGTGAAGTTAGAGAAGACATTTGGAAAAGTTAACATCCCACTTGAGAGGTTCAGATAGGAGAAAAATTAAGGGTTTCAGCGTTTTTCGGGCTCAAATATGTTTGCTTAGGATTCTTGCTCCCTCTCCCTCTGCATACTTCCTCTCAAAAAAAAATTTGAATGTTATTTTAAGGTTCATCCTGTATTTCTCTCATTTCAATTTATTGAGTGAACAAAATGTAATGCCTTGAATTTCCATGTTGCATTATTGTCTTATATCTTATTCCCAAATCACTTATTATTTTCAGCTAATTTTTTCTAAAATATATATATAATATTTTTAAATATATATATAAAATTTATATATAAATCTAGTGATGATTACTTTCTACCATAAAATATTTTATCACTTACTTGAATTTCATATACCATAAATTAGAATGAAACCTAGATTATACATAATTATTGTAGTTGGTCTCATTGAGAAACAAATGTGATAGAATTATTTATGTTGCTCTCCAAATGTGGACCTTTAGTATATAAACCCAATAGAAAATTATTCAGCATTTTATTAAGACCCTTGAATGGTCATTGACAGGTAATGTATATCTATATAATATTTACATGAAAATGATAAATTAGCACAAACTTATAAATCAATTTATAATATTGTATTCAATTGACCCTTGAACCATGGTTTTTGAACTGCATAGGTCTACTTATGTGTAGATTTTTTATAGTACAGTACTGCAAATGTATTTTTCTTATGGTTTTCTTAATAACATTTTCTTCTAGGTTTATTGTAAGAATAAATTATATAATATGTATGAAGATGTAAAACAGTACATAATACATATAACATACAAAATAGGTGTTAATAGACTGATGGTTTTGGTAAGGCTTCTGGTCAACATTAGTTGAGTTTTGGGAGAATCAAAAGTTATGGGGCACTGGGTAGCCCAGTTGGTTGAGGGTCTGACTCAATTTTGGCTCAGGTCGTTATCTCTCAGTCACAAGATCAAGCCTCGCATGGGGCTCCATGCTGGCCATGGAGCCTGCTTAAGATTCTCTTTCTCCCTCTGCCCCTCCCCCATTCATGCATTCTCTTTCTCTCTCCCTCTCTCTCAAAAAAAAAAAAAAAGTTATACATGCATTTTCAACTGCACAGCGGGTTGACAGCCCAAATACCCATGTTGTTCAAGGGTCACCTGTAGTAACAGTTTGGGGGCAAAAGATACAAAACTGTTTTTGTTTAATGAAGAGTTATCTTGCTTTTGAAATCACCAAGGAAGCACACTGGATAACTTCAGAATAACAGCAACGACAAAAGGATATTAACTTAAACATGCCAATAATGTAATGTAATTCTCTATAATTAAATTACAAGCAGTTACAATTTCTAATGTAAATTTTTATTTTGGAATAAATTTATATGTGCAGATAAGTAGCAAAGATAATACAGAAGCTTCCTATATACCTTCTCACTGAGTGTATCCACATATTAATGTTGTACATTACCAAGATACTTCTTTCTATTTGTTTGTTTATATAATCCCTACCCCCAATGTGGGGCTCAAACTCATGACCCTGAGATCAAGAGTCCCATGCTCTACTGACTGAGCCAGCCAGGCACCCCCATGACACTGTTGACAAAACTGAGGACCAGCATTGGCGAGCACTGTTAATTTACTTCACGCTTTATTTGCATTTCACCAGTTGTAACAATATATTTTCATGTTCCAGGATCCATTTCAGAATACCACATTTTCTTTAGTCATCATATCTCTTCAGTGTCCCTTGTGCTGTGTCAGTATTTTAACCCTTCCTAGTTTTTCATGGTTTTAGTGAGTTAGGGGAAGTCTGGTCAGGTGTTATTTTTGCATGTCACTGAAGTTGAGTTTGTCTGATTATTTTTTAATGATTAGAATATGTTCATAGATTTTTAGAAGAATATCCCAATCTCCTGTCATATCATATCAGAGATTCAGGAAATAATCTTGATGTATCACTGGTGCTGTTAACCGTGATCCCTTGGTTCAGCTGATGCTTGCCAGGTATCTTCATGAAATTACTGTGTTCCCATTTCCATACTTGTTTAGAAGTCACCAAGTTCATCCCAAAACAAAACCAAGGGGAGTTAAATTAATGCCTTTCTCCTGAAAGGAGGCATATATATGTATACGTATATGTATATATCTGTGTGTGTGTGAAAATATATGTATATTCTCTTTAGCATTTTTCTGCCAGGAAGATTTGTCCCTTCCTCATTTATTTGTTTATTCAATTATTCATGTCAGCATGAACTCATGTATGTTAACTTACAGTAGGTATTATAATCCAGTATGGTGCTATTTATTTTATCGCTCAAATTATTCCAGCTTTGGGCATCAGGAGTCCTTAAAGGTTTTCTTTCAGGTGGCTTTGATATGTTCCAATTTTTCTGTGTGTGTGGGGGGGGGTTGGGAAGTTTCCATTTTTATACCCGTATAAGATGCTTCCAGACTCTCAGGTCTGTCCCAGACCTAGAATCATGTATTTCCCCAAAGAGGGTTTTTTTTTTTTTTAATGTTTATTTTTGAGAGAGAAGGAGAGAGAGCACGCACAGAAGCACGAGCA